ATCGTAGATTTATTCTCGGCCTCCTCCTTGATAGCCTCTACCTTAAACTTCTTGCTTGTATTCTTCGGCGTCGGTTTAGTCTTAGGGTTGCTTGCGTTTCTTCGGAGACGCACTCTCTTTTTTAACTAAAGGTTCGTTCTTGGCGCTAAGAATATGTGCGGGTTCGAAGAGGTCGTCTGGGTTGTTGTCGCTCTCGTAAGAGAACAAAAAGATTAAAGAGTACTTAAAAGGTGATGCAATCGCCTTGTTTGGGGATATCGCACGGAGGATGAGCAAGTGGGCATAAAGATCAGGGACTGGAAGACTCTTGATTCTGCTATCTAAGGTGGGAAAGAGGCGAGATCTTTATAGACTGCCTGAATATGAGAATGGAAGGGAATGGTAGTGAATGGAAGCATCTGATCGGATCATCTGAAGCCACTGATGCGTTGATGATGCCTCCTAGAAGTTTCTGTGGGGAAATGTGGAAACGGACTGTGCGAATAGGGGTCAGACTGTTGGAGGCTGATATCCTATGTGTGACAGGGAAATCGAGCGAAAAGGTCAAGCAGGGATGTCGTCTCGTATGCTTGTGATGGATAATACGAGATCGAGCCTGGATTGTTTGCTAAGCAAGCTGATAGGAGCTTCCAGTCGCGATCGATTAAAGTCTCGTCGTTAATGGCTCTGCGAATAATCTGTTGAATCATGTCGGAATGTGACAGAATTGCTTGGCTGGTTCGGAAAAGAAACAGTGTGTAACCTTCCGTACAAGACTAGGATATCCTACGTGATACTTCTTTACAGGCAATCCTTTATTATCGATGATTCTAAAGGACGCACAATAAAAGTTCACCGTTAGATCGAAGGGCTGGAGCATTGATCGCTTTCTTGTTGCCTGCGCACTCTCAGAGCGATGGGTGTTGCCCTCGTTCGTGGCCGTAACGAGTTGACGTAATCCATTTGTAGACTTTATAGCTGGGACTGTCATCGCAGGAGCTATCTGTCGTTCTGTTTGACTATCGTCGGAAGTGAGATCGATCGTCTGCGCGTCATGGTCGTTGGATCTCGAGCTTTGTATATTCGTCCGGACGGGAACTTGTCGAGACTGTCGGGTAAGGAGATTTCCGCAATAAAGACAGACTGTCCATAATGGTTGACTAAGGGATACTGCCCGATGGGAGTATCCGTCGCCGTACAAGTATCATCAGCCATTGCCTCTTAATAAGTTAATGACGAAGAGGTGGTAGATGTGCGAAGTAAACGAATTTTTCTTCGTAATCTTAATGGAATACTTTTAGTTTCAAAGTGTGTAGAGCATAAATGCAGATAAGGAGTGGAGTTTATTTAGTCATCATTATATGAGTTGTGTACCATTATCTCAACCCATTCCTGGAATTTTCTCCCAATTATCTGCCACTGCCGAGGAGTAATTGACTGTAGGTCCTCGCTTTCTTGGGAATAGCTATAGTTCTCCTCTGTTTGATGATGACCTAAGACGATTATTAACGTACCTCACTGAGTCATGCAACGCACCACGTCATGCAACAAATTGCCCGACCGGCAAGCCAGAGCGAAAATTAATCCTGCAACCGACACAACCATTTAAAATACTATTAAACATTACAATATGTGAAACACTTCATACAGAGTCTATCTATATGATGGTTTTCTTAGGAAATATGAGCAGGCGGTCTTGTGGTCCGCCCAGACCTGAGAGACTGAGAAACCGGCCTCCATACTTCCCTGCGCTTCCGTCGAACGGGAGGTATGTCTTTACCCCTAAAGCTCCGGGACTGTGGTCTCGAGCCACTGAAGCTTCAGAACCAATCTTTACCCTTTCTTCCTCCGAGTTGTTGCGTGGTTGAATGCCCGTCGCGCAAACCCGCTTCCAACGCCCCTCGTTTTTCTCACCGCTACCATGTCTTTTGTGCCCTCTTACACCAGGCTTTGACGTAGCAGCTACCTCAAACTTGACTTCCCGAATAGCCTGGCGTTCAGCCTCGCGTGCAGACCTCTCTGCTTTTAATTTTGCTGCGGCCTCCCGTTTCTCAGCTCGCTTTGCCTCGCGCTCCGCAGCACGCTCTGTCTTCTCTCGAGAACGCTGCTCTCGCAAGGCCTGACGCATTGCAGCCCGCTGTTTTTCTTCTCGGCAGATTCTCGAGCCTTTTCTTCACGTGATATGGCTACCTGGAGTCGACGATCTTCAATGGCTTGCTTGCGCTGCTCGTCGGCCTGTGCCTTGTCCGTCTGACGTCGCCGCGCCAGTTCCACCTTGGCTGGACTGAAAAAGACCGGCTGGCCACCACTTTCTTCCGGATTGAAAAGGCCCAAGGCCTTTCTGCGTTTCCCTTTTTTATGTGCAAGTTTGAGCGCTTCCTGTAGATCTCGATTTTCGTGTTGTACGAGCTCATATTGTGTCGCCAGTTTCTCTGATGCTCGGGAGAGCGCTGTGACTCGGGAGTCCATCAGCCCTTCCTTGCGGAGACGGCGGGTAATGCGCCGAATAGCCCGAAGAGAGCCTGGAGTCTTCATCGCCCTTTCCTCAGATGCAGTTTGTGGGGGTGTCACATCACTGCTGTGGCTAATCTTGGACAATACTTTGCCGGGGTCGAGTGGATGGATTCTGTGGCCCGCCAACCAGCCTCGATATTTTTGGCCGTAAATGCCTGGTTCCACGCATCACGAAAGAGTGGCCAAAAATTCCGTTTGGTAAGGCGAATTAACCCCCATCCAATGGACATCAGCTGGTCGGAACCTTGAGCATAATAGGTGGAGAGTGCGGAAAACAGGCCAACATCGAGTGGTTGAAGCCGATGAGTTGAGTGCGATGGCAACACAGCAATGAGAATTCGATTCCGATCGGCATAGTCAATGAATTTCAGGTTAATGTGACTATTGTGACCGTCTAAAATTAAGAGACGGTAGGCACGACCAGCCTTTTGCTTCGTATGGCAGTCAAATATGCGCTGAAGCCAGTGTAAACCCAGTGCATCACAGCTCCAGCCGTTTTCCGTACTGGCGAAGAAGGCTACTTGCTGGAATGGTCAAAATCCTCAAGCCAAGTATCTTGAAAGTCTTTTGACTCCCCTTTGTAAATGAGGGCCGGTGGCAGGTACGAATAATCTGCACATATGGCAGCGATCAGCGTGATGAACTCCCGGTTCCCGTCTTGGCTTGCCCCGACCAGTTTTCCGCGCCTGAGGGCTTCTCGGGGGACAACTCGCTTGGTGGAGCGAGAGAGACCAATTTGGAATCCTTCTCGTCAAAATTATAAACATTTGAGGGACTGATGTTGTACTTTTCGATCTTTTCGCGGAGCTAGTTGGATTCGGTCAGAAATGGCGACTTTACGGCATTTGACCGAGTATTGTCGGCAGTATACCCTTGAAATGACGATAAAAGCAGTCTTACTAGATTGAAGAAGTTTTGGAAATGCCTGGAATTATCAGCAGCCTTCCGCTGATGATCTATGGTGCGCAAATACAAGCTCGAAAGACGGTCATGGTGTCGCTTGCGGAAGCGGCTCACCCAGTTGACACCAAGCTCTGTCCCTGCGATTTCCTCGGCGATATTCTTCAACATCTGAGGGGTAGGCGGGATACCACGGTCGGTCAGCTTATTGACGTGCCCAATAAGAATCTCCTCCTGCGCGCTGGTGAGTTTCTGTCGCGAGTAAGAGTTCGCGTCGTGATTTGAGGCTGTTTTGCCTTTGAAGCGGCGCCACAGCGTGGATTTGTCGATATTGTATCTCCTCGCGGTCTCTGCATATTTAGGGCGATCTTGGGATTGCAGTTCTATAATTGCCTCTGCAATACGAGGGTTGTGATCCATATCGCGTCAATTTGAAGAAGACGCGTCAGGTGTTGAAAATTGTTGCATGACCTAGTGCGTTGCATGACGCAGTGGGGTACGTTAGTTGAATCTTTTCCCTTTTCTTTTTATAGGTAGAACTAGAGTGTTACAGTGTAGTTTGCATAGCGACCCACGAGATGAGTACGTGCAATTCGCGCATGCACCTGACCCTAGCATTTCCAGAGTGTAACAGCCTTGAAACACCCCATTCCCTTTTATACACTGGACACAGGAGCTTTCGGCTGATCACCGAATATAAATATCAAGGCGGCATCGAGATGTTGGCTTCGTGTAAGCTTAAGTCGATGCGAATGTGATATACCTTGCCTCGCCTTCGTATTGAGACATATAAAGCGTTTAGGGGCTGTAGATGCTAGCAATCTCTCGACCTTGGACGAACGGACTTGATACACCTTAGACAACGCCCATGATGTAAGTTCAATGCTAGTTATTGGTTGTTGTGCAGTAGGAGGAATTGATGGGAGGAGAATACTGTCAATCGTGATAGCTTGCATTTTTAATATTCGTCCACGCAAAATAAAGTAGGGGGAAGAAAGAAACGTGACTGTAAAGATCTGCTATAACTTCGTCGTATATGCAATTAACCCTGCTTCTGCTAAGCCGAATATTTAAAAATGGGCCATAACCCTCTATGGTCACAGTAGGGTATACGTAATGACAAATTTTCTTCCCAAATGCGTTTTGAGACAGTCTGGCCTACAGTCGCCCGTAGGTCCCTTCCCCCGTCAGCGGGTTCCGGGCACGGCGGTAAAGCCGTAATATTAGTCAGTCTTCGGTCAGAGCCGGGTGACTGAGAAAGCCCACCTTAGCTTGGCTGGTGAAGGTGAACCGGAATCCAGAAAAGTGGGGCGTGGCACGAGTAACGACGACTGCCTGTCGCACAAGGCAAACCGTCAATCATCCCCTCTCTTTTGCTTTTGCTTGCTAGCCCAAAAGGGCCCATCTTTTCCGCCTCGTTCGCTCGCTCAGGCAACAGGCCGACGTCAGACGAAGCCCAAGCGCCCGTTTCCCCTACGAGCTTCGCCGTTGCCTCACCATCTCAACGAACCTCGTTGGCCTTAGCCAAACAGTCGGAATAGACAGGATCGAGGACGAATGCGCGCGCCCTGGCCGCCTGTCGCCGGGCTGAAGCTCGATCGCGGCTGATGGCAGAACCCCTGTATCATGATGCGCTGGCCGACGAGTTGGTCGTCCAGGAAGTCATTCTCGACTCCCTCCAGGGCGAACACTTCGATGGGGCCGAACAGGAGCGCCAGGAGGCGAGGCGCGAGATTGCCAGGTTGAGGGCCCTTCTCAGTCAGCCGCCGGGACCTGCTCAAACCCCCAACAGGGACTCGAGCTGCGATGGAGGTCAGTATCCTCCCTCGCTCTCCTCTGTTCAGCCTCCGGAATTCGGCGCTGACTCGGTGAGGATAGACGGCCGTGACGATGCCCAAGCCCAGAGCCGCCATTCTCTGCCCACCTCGACAACCCCAACAGGTAAGCTCTGCTTTCCTCGCCCAACCTCGCCTGTCTGTGCTTCCTGTCCATCGCCACTTCGTTTTCCCTTTCGCTGCATTCTGTTCTTTACTCCTCCTCTTTCCCCTTTCTGAACTCCAACCGCATCCTCTACCCAGTGGAATCATCCTAGTTGCTATTCAGCATCTAAGCTCTGACGACCACCTGCTTAGTTTGTGTGCATCTTTCAACCCCTTTGCCGCCATATTGGCGCCTGCCAGGTCAAAGAACACCTCACTCGTCATTGTGGCGCATTTCCCTTTAGCAAAGCTTTGCCGCACTCAAACACCGCACACCCATTCCTTGGCATGACATTTTGGGCTCCTTGATTTCCTCTCGATTCCGCGCTTGCGCCTTGTTTCATCCCGCCTTGCTGACAGCTGCCCCTCCAGCGCGACTATCCGCCAGCGTGGAACCAGCCAGTTCGCGCCGTAGCTCGGCGGCATTTTCGACTCCTCGCACGCTCAGGATGGACAATGACATCTGGAGAAGCCCAGGTGCCCGCTCTCTGCCGAGTCGCAAGCGTGAGTGTGAATCGCCGCTCCTGGGCATCGCTAGAGGAACGGCCAAGGCTCGACGCATCACCCCGACGCCTCAAAGTAATGGATTCGCCACACCGCAAGACAGCGCCAGCAGTGTCATAGACATTATCGACCTTACTGGGCACGCCAGCTCCATCCCCCCTCGTAAGCAATGTCAAGCACTAACCAGTGGCCAGGGATGACGTCGATTACGATGCGACATGCATCGCTCAACATATCAAAGAAGAGAAGAGACACGAGCAGGAGATGAGAGACAGGAGTCTGGCTCAGCAGCTTTCGAGCCAAGGAGATCCTGCTCCAGTCGTCCCGTCTACTCCGGCTCCAGGTTCGGGCCACTCAGACGCCTTTTCAAAGATAATGGCTTCGCAAATGCCCAACTCGCACGGGCAATTCGTTAAGCGCGAAGACCCAGCTTCTCGCCCGCCACAGACACTACCCATGCCTGGCGCATATGATGCCCGCTGGGATGAGCCTTACGGGCCCAATTCGTACAACTCTATGCCATCGACGGCTTTTGGTGGCCCGGGTCAGAGCCCTTTTACGACGACTCCACAGGCATTTCCTCACAAGCCACTGCCGTCCAGTACAAGCTTCAGCCCAGGTGCTCTGAATCAGTCACCTGGTGTCAACGGGCTTCCTTTTTCGTACGGGAGCCCCTTTGCGCATCCCTATCAAGCAGGACGGCCGGGAGCAGTCGGTTTCGCACCGGCTTCGAGCATGTATGGCCCCCCCAGGACTCCAGCCTTGCCGAGCTCCGGCAGCGTGAGCCTGCTTGATGCCATTGACAAACCCAGCATGCTCGACTATGCCAACCAGCTCGACGCTGAAGGAAATCCCTTTGCCGACAGGTTATCCAGCTTTCTTGACCACGCGTACCATGATCCCAATGTGAGCGAAAAGGAGTTGGACGAGCTGCTGCAAAACATTCGCCCGGACATGGACATCCCGGATAAGCATCGGACGGGACGCCGGCAGGACTTAAGCAGTCACTCTACCACCACCAGGAACTCGCCTTGTCTTGGATGAAGAAAATGGAGGAGGGTACCAACAAAGGCGGCATCTTGGCCGACGACATGGGTCTCGGCAAGACGATATCCACCCTGGCTCTCATGTTGGCAAGACCTGCCGTAGGGCGACCCAAGGTAAGTCGGGGATGTCTGGGGGGCACCGTGAACGAGCTTGGTTCCGCTGACACCAAGTAGACGAACTTGATTATCGGGCCGCTCTCGCTAGTACGCCAGTGGGAGGAAGAGATTTCGAAGAAGACTAAGCTCTCGCATCGCATGTCCGTCTTCGTATATCACAACACCAAGGCGATGACGGATGACTTGCTCAGATACGACGTTGTCCTAACGACGTACGGCACAATCGCTCAAGAACTAAAGCGGCTGGAGAAGTTCATGGAGGACAACGCCGATCGGAACATTGACTTAAACGACAGGGCCAACGCTCTCAAATTTCCCTTGCTGCACCCGACCAAAGCTGTCTTTCATAGAGTCGTGCTCGACGAGGCACAGTGCATTAAGAACAGGAAGACCAAGACGGCGAAAGCCTGCCACGCGCTCAAATCCACATATCGGTGGTGCCTCACTGGTACCCCGATGATGAATGGGGTCCTCGAACTCTTCTCTCTTGTTCAGTTCCTCCACATCAAGCCTTACTGCGTGTGGGAGAATTTTCGACAGGTTAGTCCAGGACGACTTGGTTTGTGCTTGATTGAATAACATACTGACGGCCCGCAGGCGTTTGGCATCCTTTGCGGTCTCAAGGGCGATGCAAAGAGCGTCGCCATGAGCAGGCTTCGAGCTCTTCTCAAGGCTATCATGCTGCGAAGAAAGAAGGACTCGCAGCTGAATGGGAAACCCATTCTCAATCTTCCTTCGAAAGACGAAAGCATAGTGTATGCTAAGCTTTCTCCCGACGAGAGGGGATTCTACAAGCAGCTTGAGCAGAAGTCCCAGGTTCTATTCAGCAAGTACCTACGCGAAGGCTCTATCGGCAAGAATTATTCCAACATTCTCGTTCTCCTCCTCCGCATGCGGCAGGCTTGCTGTCATCCGCACCTCAACCTGGACGTGGACGATGCCACCCAGTTTGGCAAAGAGAAAGTGGACGAGAAAATGGTGCAACCGATCAAGAGGCTCAGCAAGGCCACTGTGGAAAGGATCAAGGCGATTGAGGCTTTTGAATGCCCGATATGTTTCGACGCTGTCCAGTCTCCATCGTTCTTTATCCCATGTGGCCACGACGGCTGCAAGGATTGTGTCACGCGCTTAGTCGACAACTCTGCGGCCGCCAACCTGCAAGCTGGAGATGAAAGCGACAAGGCTAAGTGCCCTGTGTGTCGTGGCACTTTTGACGGCAAGAAGTGCTTCACGTACGAAGCGTTTCGGAGCGTTCACATGCCCGAAACTATGGTCAAGCAATCAGAGCCTGGCGTCGAGGACTCATCCAGCGACGACGATTCCAAGTCGGAGTCTGAGGTTGACACGGAGGAGGTTAACGCCAAGGGGAACTTGCGAGGTTTCGTCGTGGAGGATGACGACTCGGACCACGTGGACCACGCCAAGTCGCAAGCCAACAAGGCTGACAAGACTCCCAAGAAGAACAAAAAGGGCAAGAAAAAGCCGGCCGACGTCAAGCCATCCATGCTGAAGAGCTTGCGGCTAGAGGCAATCAAGAATCGGGAGGCGTACAAGCGATATATGCGCTACCTGCGAAAGACGTGGATGCCAGCGGCCAAAGTCACCGAGTGCATGAACCTTCTCAAGAAGATTCAAGAAACGGGAGAGAAGACCATTGTCTTTTCTCAGTGGACCCTACTTCTGGATTTACTACAGGTGGCCATGTGGCATGACAAGTTCAAGGACAAGCCGGAGCGGTACGATGGCAGCATGTCGGGCGAGGATCGTGCCCGGGCTGCCAGAGACTTCCGGGACAGGGACAACGTCAAGGTCATGCTGGTGTCTCTCCGAGCCGGGAATGCGGGCTTGAACCTCGCGTCTGCCAACAATGTCATCATCATGGACCCTTTTTGGAATCCATACATCGAGATGCAGGCTGTGGACCGTGCGTACCGTATCGGCCAGAAACTGGAGGTGAAAGTCTACCGCATCCTCACCGAGGAGACGGTCGAGGACCGCATCATCGCGCTGCAAGAGCGCAAAAAGGCGATTGTTGAGGCGGCACTGGACGAGACCGAGAGCATGAAGATTGGTCGCCTGAATGTCAACGAACTCAAGTTCCTTTTCAACACGAGGGACTAGCGTGGAAACGCACGGCGCCTTGCCCCAGTTGCTGCGAAGGTCTCTTCTCCTTGCTCTGTCTTTGCTACCGGGCTTGGGGATCATGCATATGTCCCACGACGAGGGCACGAGAAAGCGGCGGAGGGCGAATTTTCCCTAGTATACATGGCATATGGCAGGGAGCCGAGTGGACGTCCATGGGTCTGATGAGAATGTGGCTTTAGACGAACGTATGTACGCGTCGCGAGCAGCACAACGAAGAGAGGCTTGGGTTTCTAGAGACTAGACGTCTATAGAGCTAGATGTGCACAGCATCAATCCATCGCCGCATGCATGTCCTTTCGATATCCGCGTGACTAGCTTGCCTAGTTGGGGGGATGGGGAGGGGTGTCGTGACTGGCACGTCGGTATCTCGAGTGCGGAGACAAGTCGCACATATGGGTCAAGATACGATCAAGCCGGCGCGAATGATTGTTATGTACATGGTCAAGTGCATGGGTATATATATATACATGTACATCCCTAAGCCTCGCGGGCAGATTCTGCTTCCCTACCAAGACGACTCACCCGTCACGGGGCATGGCGGCCGTGCTTGCGAAAGTCGAGCACTACTTGTACATGTGGCAGCCTCTTTGCTGCGACGGACCGCAAGATCAGAGACCTTTGCTACAACGAGCACTGCGAAATTCGAAATCAGCTGGCCGACATCAGCTCTCGTCTCGGCGCCTTAGAAGCTCAACTTGCCAATACCAAACCCGTCTGTCAGGAGTGCCACAGCACCAAGGATCGCAAACGGCATGCCAAACAGGACCCGCAGCAGCAGCGAGACCAGCCACCTCATGGGCCCGCAGAGCAGGCGCTGGATGACGAACCACGCGCGCGTCGCCGAAGCGGGGGAAGGCATCGGAAAACCTGCCCAGAGGGGAGATCGGAGCCGCGAAAACAGTAAACAAAGTCAAGCTCTCACGGGTCTGGCTTGAAATAACCAAGGAGTGACCGTCATGAGTACATGTTGAAAGGCCCAAGAGAGCATGGTGGAGGGTCGGAGGGCTCTGGAGGTCTGAAACAATCGGGGCCGATACCACGCTGGAAGGAGTACATTTTGCGCTGATGACGGACGTTCTTTTTCTTGAAGTCGAGATTAACGGCGGCAGCCACTTTCCCATAACGCTGCAATGGAATGACGAGACCGAAGCCTTCGAAGGGCAGGATATGCTGAGGGAAATGAATCTCCTTATCGGTTACGATGAGATCTTTAAGATGCTCTGCCACCCCTATCAGGCGTGTAGGGACTGGCGGTTTTGTCAAGTATGAGTACTCTCACGAAGAGAGCATGCAAGTGGGCATTGATTGTTTTATATTAACGGAGGTAGCCGTAGGCAGAGAAAGTGGACAGCGACGTAAATTACCGTCGCTCGAATTCAGTGCCCTCAGAGCGATACCAAGTGCTCCGTCGACCGTTCAGTACCGGATTTAGTCGCTACGGACAGTTGCATCTCCACCTCTCCATCTACCCGTTTCCTCTGGTGCTCTCTTATCATACTGTCCAGGGGTACTGCTGGCATAAATAAAATCGCCAGGCAAAGTCCACACTGACCTCCAAACTGGTGCCTCACCCAACCAGTCATAGAACATACTAGGAGCACAGATGATGCTAGGAATACCATTCCGCTTACTGCTCCAAGCCACGGTACCCCCCTGGTTTGACGTCGGTTGCTCTGGCTGAGGCTGGTTAGAGCGCCGGTCAACACGACGAAAACGTTGTGTCTTCTTCCATATCGCAATAACCATAATAACGGTAGTCAAGTGAGACACCATTGGAGCAGCCCACCAGTATTCGACGCCAGAGAGCCCGATTTGCCAAACGGTCGCCCCAATAAAGGGAAGGTGAAAGACTAATGCTAGTCCAAAAATAATGATTCTCGCCTTAATGCAGGGGCCAGGCTCGACGGTGCGAGAAAAATAGGCATAAATCAAGGGATCGACAACTTGAATAAGCTATAAATCATGAGTATATCGTGGGGATAACTAGACGGCCTGAATGGGGAGTACCTCGATGATGTCGACGCATAACATGGTGACCCCTTTCCAGGCTGTGAAGAAGGGATAGGCAAGGACGCCAGGGAGGAGTGCATTTCTCGCACTGCCAAACAAAGCGGCGAATATTAATCCGGTACCCAAGAAGAGACATGCTGTGGGAATCAACGACCAAGTTCGCCTACGTGAAGCTTCTCGTGGCTTGACTCTGATCATCCAGTACAGGTAAGGCCCCAGAAAGACCGTGGTCACGGCAAACACGACACCGGCCTCGGTGACCTCCCTGATGGTAATCTCGTCCTGCATGTCGAAATGCAGCAACATTGAACGATGGAGAGAGCGGAATTCTGACTTGGAGTAATGAGAATATGAGCACCGGGCTTACCCGGAACAAGAAGTGCTTTATATAGACGTTTAAGTCATAACAGCGAATATTGGTATATAGCAAGTAACGCTCAGATGAAGAGGGCTACAGTACATTGTCCAGTCGCCTTACAACGGGAAGACATACCTAGAGTAAGGTGGTGATGGGGTGCTTTGTGCATAGTACGGTTACACCATCATTGTCTTGAGACTGGGCTATACCGTAGTTGATATGATGATTTACATACATGAGGCGGGTGAGCTTCCTCCATGTCGAAACGGCCTGGTCAGAGTAGGGTTGGCGGAACGGCATGTCTTCAACCAGTCAATGCGTTTGGCCCCCCGGTTACGAGGCCATCCAGTAGATCGGCATCACCAGCCGTGTATTCATCCTGGTTCATGCACTTTGGCTTGCATGCGTCTAAGTTCACCTTGATTAGGGAGGTCGGAACGCCATGGGCCTGTGCAGAGGCAACTTGCCTGGGTCTGCAGTCAAAATGAACATGGACGTGACAACACCATGAGCTCCCCTGGACCAAGGAAGTGAGGTCAAAACATGAGCAGAAGGCGTCATTGATCCATTCCACATTGGGGTTGTGACATAACAGCGCAGATCTAGGAAAGCGTGACTCTCAGCTGTGACAACTCCGCAGGATGGGCTTCGTACTGGCTCGGGAACCTGTCTCTCACCTGGTCGTCCTGGATCTCGGCCTCGTTGGGGCTGTTGGTCGTGAACATTAAGGAAAGGCAGGACTGTCGGGAGGGAAGGAGGGGAACACAGGATAGATTACTGAGATCGAAGAGATATGCTGTTACTTAGGCGATTCCTCCGGTTTGTTCTGTCTCCTCAAGAATCTTCTCCATCGCTCTTTTCAAAAGTGCTCTGCCCTTATCGCGGTCTAACTCATCAACCGAATACCATCCTTGACCTTCCATGAAAATAGCGCTCGCACCGCAACTCGCTAATTTGACAAATCTTCTGGACTCTTCCTGCCATATTTCGCGCATACTTCTTTCCATTTCGGCGCTAATGCTCTTGAAAACCGGGATGCCCACTCCCACACCGAACTTGAAAGGCCCCCAAGCCTTTCTACCCTCACTGAGCTTTCGATAGTTCCAGTAACGGAGTAGAGACGATTTATCTTTGAGGTCGTGGAAACTATCGCGGAGTGTTTGTCCTGCATACACTGACAAGTTTCAGTGATGATCTGAAAGGGTTGGACTCCAAGTCGGCACGGCTCGTCATGGCTGCACTTCTTCTGATCAACATCGTTGAGGTGACCGCAATTCATCGAGCCTTGGGTGACAATATGTGATGCCATCGTTTTATTGCAGGTAGCTGTTGCGGAAGACTTGTTATGGTAATGACCGTGTCCATGTATGCGCCATGGGATACTTTATAGGTCAGAAGTTCAGCTCTACAGCTTTTACCAATCTCCTTACGCTTACATTGAGAAGGCGAGGTATAGAAGCTGTCACGAAACTTAGTCTCATTACTACGCTTTGTCGTTGGCCGTGTCACCTGCGGCGTGCATGCCAAGTGCAGGGCCGTTACAAGGTCAATCAAGCAAGACGTACGGCTGCTGCAGAGAGCTAGGTAGTAGCTACCGCAATCACCCACACCGGATGATCATTTCGGGCTTAGGACCAGGCTTTGTTACACCCTCAAACAAGGCCGATGGGTACTGTAGCGGGACATAGAATGCCGCTATGTCCTAATTAACAGGCACTCATAAAGTACCACAGCTTTGCTGCTCAATATGGGATGCATTTGAAGATCGCTCGGCGGCGTGGCTGCAGGCTCTTCGCATCAGCCGCATGCACGCGTCAGGGTCGGCAGGCTGCCCACCACCAGTGCAGATACGATTATTTGACCAATCATCTGAGCTTCCTGCCAGTGAGCGGGCCGGCACGTCTTCCACTGTCAATGCAGTCGGCCCCCTGTCTGGCTAGGTATTCGATAGATCGTCACGGGTATGGGTATGGCAACCCCCTGGGTTGCGCAAAAAAGCTTTGAGGAACGAAGATAAAGGTCGGATAAAAAGAACGGGATAACAGAACGGCAGGGAAAGTAGGTACCTACGGGCGACTGTAGGCCAGACTGTCTCAAAACGCATTTTGGGCTGTGGGCACCCCGGGGTTAGATTACCCGATCGGGTCTAAGTGCAACTGGGTAACTTGTATATACCGATACTCTTCTATTAGCATAGGCATTGAAAGAAATGAAAGTAAGCGTTCGCTCTGCGCATTGGTACACATTTTCAGTGCTTTTCTCCTTCTACGATATCATTGAGCCCGAATAGCGCTTTACTCAGTTAAACAAATATGCCTCGACCACAAATTGATCTTTCCACAGTTCAGGAGGAAATCACCGGCTTGCATCGAGATGGATCCTCTATTAATACAATCCGTACGCATCTTCTCGAGCATCATCAGCTTCAAGTAAGCCGCGCCAGTCTCTATCGATCGATCAAAGACTGGGGACTTCTTCGTCAAGCACGTACGATCACTTCAGATACCTTACGGGACCGAATTAGGTCGCTATTCTTTGATGAATGTCTTAAGGATGATTTCATGCTTAAACGACTTAGAGACGAGGGGTTTACGATCTCAAAGTTCCG